CGAGGCTTCTGAAGAAAATCGAGATGATTTTTCAGGGGATTAAAAATGGAAAAAAAGAGAAAAAAGGAAAAGAACTGACGGCAACATGTTTTCCTCAAAGGGCCAGCTAAGGAGAGTGACCAGCAGGACACGTTGTATGTATGTTAAGCATCCACAGCCAGAAGGGGTCGTATTTGGTCGCTGGAGAGGGGGGGGGGGTAAAATTGCCTTTGAAAAAATGTTTTTGGTTGTTGATCTTTCGGTTTTGGGTTCTATGCGGTTTACGTGCGCTTTACCAGCACTTCCCCCCCCCCCCCCACCTATAAGACGGCAGTTTTTCGGGGGGAAAAGTGTAGAGATTTCCGAGAAAAGAGCTCTCCAAAGTGATAGGAAGCTGGAAAATTGAGGGGTATTGTAAGTAGAAAGGAGGATGAGCAAGGGGGGAGGAGATTGTCGTATTCTGCAAGAATTTCCTCTAGCACATGCCCCCGTGACAAGTTAGGACCACCAATTCATCACTCCAAAGTAGCTCAGCACGGTAGCCTTTCCACCATTTCTTTACAAAACTGCAAAATCGTTTTTCCTTACAGCATGCGGTTCGTTAGTTGGAGCGTCTTCAGCAACAACGGCAGGTTCTTGTGGTGTCTTCCAGAAGGAAAATCTTCCGTCCACAATGCCAAACCAATGTAAATCAGCTTTCTTTCCCTTGCCCTACATGTTGGAATCACGACGATATAGCGAGCCAGCACCGCCACCGGCTCATTTCCTATCACAGCGCCGACGAAGCAAAGAAGGTGCGTGCCTGTTCCCTTTTCCTCCCTCGTCAACTCAATAAATCACTCTGCGAAAAGTATCAGAATCTTCGGAGGTGAGCGTGCAATCTTCCCTAAGAGCTGCTATTTCAGTTTCTGGACAAGTCACATACTTGTGGGAATTTCTGCTACGTCTACTTCAAGACAAGGAATACTGTCCAAAGTTTATTAAATGGATCGATCAATCCAAGGTGAGTGAACCAGCAAAGTTTAAAAATTTAATCTTTCACGGTAACGAGTGTCCTTTCAGTTGGGGTTCCTAATTTCCTGGCAGATTTTTCAAGATATTACACATCAGAATAGCTCTACTGCTAGCCCTGCACTGATCGATAATATTAGGTTCAGCCGAGGAAATAAAGTCAACACTTGGTTCCACGAACATCTTCCTACTGCTTGTACTATAACTCTGTATTTTTCAGGGCGTTTTCAAGCTGGTCGACTCGAAAGCAGTCTCACGACTCTGGGGTATGCATAAGAACAAACCTGGGATGAACTATGAAACAATGGGAAGAGCTTTACGGTAGGTACTGTTCTAGCTGAAATTCAACTTCACTTCACCGCACACACAACTCAAAACCAGTCTATGAGGCATATTTCAACTGTAATATCAGGTTGGCGGGAAAGTTTTGTCACTTATTTTCGAACTCAAATTACTTGCTCATTAGCAAGAGGGGTAACCGGTAATGTAAGCTCTTGTACAACAAGGAGTGGTCTCTCTGTTAGTACCACTCGCTTGCCTCTTGCTCCTTCTGCAATATGCACAAGGATTTTATCCGCTACCATCAGCCCCGACCCATCCAACAACTTCCACAAACTATTTCACCCACCACCCTGACGCCAGCGTGTTAGCTGCAGATGCCAAATTGATGGAGCTGAATAAGCACGATGCCCCCAATCATCGAGCAACCTTACCACGACAGTGACTCTTCAAGGCGGGAGCCTAGGGAGCCTACAGTTTTGATGACGAAGTGAGGTTTGGGTTACCTGCAAACTCAGCTTGAGGGAGCTATGGGTCGGGAAACTGCTGGATGAAGAAGCTGCTTCCTTGGTCAAGGCGTACGCAAAGCAGCTACGAGATCTAAGGCGTATCGTGGATCAGAGGGAAAAATTTGTCCGCACAGCCGGCCCTCACCAAGAGAGTGCAACGCACTTGGTCCAAAAAAGTTCGAGCCGTACCTCATGCAATGGAGCTTGATCTCTCTCCCCTTGCACTTGTGTAGCACAGACATCGCCCCTTCTAATAGCAAGTTGCCTCGATCGTTATGCGGACGAGAAAACCTCCATAACCCAAGTTCAAGTCGAAGTTGAGATGGTGTCCAACTTTGCGTCGTGTCTCCCTGCATAGTGAAGCGATGGCATCCATGAGGTGCTCAAACAGTGGCAAGGACCCCGCAGTTACATTGCTGTACAATTTTGATCTTACACTCCTCTCTATAAAAAGAAAGCCTAGTTTGAAAAAATGTGACAGAACTTTCCCGCCAACCTAATACTTCGTCGAAACTTACTTCAAGTTAGGCAGAGTTGAAATTTGCCTCTTTGTGCCTCGCGAAGGGCACGTCTCCAGCGGCGAGGCTTAGCCATGCCATGTTCTAATGCTACAAAGCCATGTATGCTGTCCAGGTAGGAGAAGACAGTGACACGATAATTTCTTTTGACGCTTTTTGCCTCAAAGCCCTCCAGTGAGGTACAATCACGTCATGTCTGCTCGTCTGAACCCTCTCATCGAGACAGCGTGATATGGTCCAACATGACCTAATCAGTATTAGAACATGTTACCCTGTAGCTGCACATCTCGAGAAACCAGCATGAGACATTGCCTCGTTGAAACATTACATAGAATGGAACATGGAACGGCTAACCCACAAGGTTGCTCTAGCGCCGCCCACGTAATCAGTGCGGAACGAACTGCCTAATTCATTTACCTGTATGTCTTCGAAGAAAATTTTGCAAAGCTTAGAAAACGAATAATTCCAAATCACCCTCAGCACTTGATCTTATAGACAGCACGCCTTACAGACGCCTATCAATTTCCTTTTGATGTTTCATGGTCAGTGAATAAAAAATTACGATACTGAGTCGGGGAGAATAATTGAAAAGAAGAAGGAGCGTCTATGTTCCACCCCCTATAAATCTTGGAATTCTGTGAGGTCTGGGTAGAAGAAGAGCTTTTTCTCGTTGATCAACTTATCAATGGAAATCGCCAAGCAAACAAGTATCGAGCCAGTCTTGACAAGCGCTCATTCCACCAATGATGCATGTAATGCTACCCCTCCACCTTGCTATCACACCTACTGCCTTTAATTCAGCCTCCCTCTTGGGCGAATGTGCAAAGACCACATGGTTATTGCGCTAAAAAGCAATCACATAACCCTACGAAATGGGCTCAACATGACTGGACTGCTTTTCTGAACTTTTTTAGACCGACCGGGGTTCTTTGGTCCATAATAGTTCATGGACGTATGCCCACGAGCTGAGAAGGCAGACTAGCTACCACTATTG